TTAGCCTTTTTCCTGGCTTCCTGTTGCATGAGCACTGTTTTCTCTCCTTTGACTTTCAGTCTATGAATTTCCTTTCAAGTTAACGTGTTTCTTGTATACCACATATTGATGGATTTTGTGTCTTGATCCACTCTGCTTATGTTTCTTTTTATTGGTGAACTGAGGCCATCTATGTTAATGATTATAGCCAACATGCACTGACTCATCTCTGAAGTACTTTTTGCCTGCTGTTGTCTTCCCACTTTTGCCCTCCATTCAACTGTCTGTCCCAATCAGTGATCCCACTTGGCTGTTATTCCTGAGCTCTGATCATTTTTTATCTATCTCTAGAATATTATTCAGTATTCTTTGTAGGATTGACTTGGTGGTCATGAATTTGTTCAGTTGTTCTTCATTTAAAAAAACCTTATTTCTCCATCAGTTTTCAAAGATATTTTTGCAGGGCATGTCAATCTGGGTTGAAAATTGTTTTCTTTTAAAACTTGAGATACTTCACTCCAAGCTCCTCTTGTTGATGGTTTGTGTTGAAAAGTCTGTCATGATTCAGATAGGTTTTCCTTTATAGATGATCTGATCTTTTCTCTAACAGCTCTTAATATTCTTTTCTTGTCCTGAATTTCTGGGATCTTGACTATTATATGTCTATGTGTGGATTCCTTTTGGTTATGGCTAGTTGGAGACTATATGTCTCGCTTATCTGTATGTCATGTCATTTTCCCATGCTTGGGAAATTCTCTGCTAATACTTCTGTAGTCTCCTTATGTCATTTCTGTTGACTCCTGCAAACAAAACATTTTTGCTGACACCTATCATTCTTAAATTACTTTTCTTGGCATCATCTTTCAGCCATTGAGTTGTTATTTACTGGTTTCTTGTTACTTTTAAGAAATTTTTCCTTTCACCATTAGCTGCTATCCTATCTTCAAGGTCTGAAAATGTATCTTCAGTTTCTTTCAATGGTTTTTCCAGCTTATGATGGAGTTTTTAATTTCCTGGATGTACTTTGAGTCAAGCATTCCAATCATGCTCTATATTTTTCATTCAAAATTTCCCTCATTCTCCTATCCTCTTTTGTAATCTATGTCTTCTTTAGATATCTTCAGCAACTTTTATTATATGTTTGTTATTTCTTCTTTTACCAGAGATATTATTTCTGATCTAATTCTTTTTACAGCCTCATGAAATAGTTTTTTTACTTCAGTCACCATCATCTCAGAAAGTTCAGGTATACGACTTCTATTTTCTTCCATGTCCATGTCTCCTGGACTTGTTCTATTTGGGATGGAAGCCAGAGATTGTCTTTTGCTCCTTCATCTTGATATTTTTCTGGGTTTTTCCAGATGAGAAGGTTGTTGGGTCTCAGGTACTTCCCACATTTGTTAACCATCCTTAATGTATGGGTCTGGGTCAGGCACCTGAGTTTCTCCTAACCCAGGTTCCCCAGGAGACAATGAGGTATGGGGCAAACTTCTCCAGACACTTGTGGCTTCTCCTAGGCATGACTGGCTATTTCTATAGGTTCACACTGGCTATCCATGAAAGAGTCCCAGTGGCAGCCGGTGTATATTTGGGGGCTAGACTAGCTGCTTCTCCCCACCTGTGCTGATTACCTGTAGGACAGTCCTAATAGCAGCTGTCATGCACATGGAGGCTTCACTGGCTGGTTCTCCTGGCTTGCACTGGTTAACTGCAGGAGAGACCCAGTGGTGGCCAGCATGCATGTGGGGGCTGGGCTGACTGCTTCTTTCCACCCATGCTGGTTACTCATGAGAGAGTCCTAATGATGGCCTGCTTCTGCTGTTTCTTAAACTCTTTAATGAAATTGAAAGGGAAGCAATACTCCCAAACTCATTCCTGGAAGTAAGCGTCAACCTGATACCAAAACTAGAAGAGGATCCAAATAAGAAAGAGAACTACAGGTCAATCTCTCTAATGAACTTAGATGCAAAAATCCCCAATAAGATATTGGTAAACAGAACACAGCAAATTATCAAGAAGATTATATACTATAATAAAGTAGGATTCATCCCACAAATTCAGGGATGGTTCAACATATGCAAATCAATAAATATAATATATTAACAGAGCCAAGGGCAAACACCATATGATCATCTTAACAGATGTAGAATAGGCATTTGACAAAGTCCAACACCCATCCATGATTTTTTAAAACATACATAAAATTAGAATTGGATTGTATTAATCACAAATTTATCTATGACAAAAATAATTGAAATCTTAATAAATGCTCAAAAACTGCAAGTTTTCATTCTAAAATCAGAAACAAGACAAAGGTTTCCACTATCACCACACCTATCCAATATAGTTCTGAAAACATTAGCCATAGTAATTAGACAAGGGAAATAAATAAAAAATAATAAAGATACAAAGTGAAGAAGTTAAATTATCATCATTTTCAGATTGCATGATTTTTCATGTAGAAGGTCCCAAAAATTCCACCAAAAGCCTTTTAAATGTAATAGTCAAATTTAGTAGTATAGCTGCATAAAAGTCAACACTCAAATATCAGTAGCATTCCTGTACGCAAATAACAAACTCACTGAGAGAGAAATCAAGGAAACCACATGGCATCCAAAAAAATAAAACATTTAGGAATCAATGTAAGGAAGTAAGTAATAGACCTTACTCTGAAAAGTAAAGTGCTCTAAAAAAAAGATCAACCAGTATATCAGAAAATGGAAAGATATCCCTTATTATTGGGTAGAAAAAAACGAATGTAGCAAAAATGACCATATGATACAGATTCAATGCAGTCCCAATCAAAGTAGAATTCCTTACAGAATACTGACAGCTTTCTTCACAATCTAAAATTAACTTAGAACCACAAGAAACCTAGAATGGCAAAAGCAATTCCGGGCAACAAAGAAATGGAAGCAAGCATCATAATCTGTGACTTGCAATTATACTACAAAGGTACACAAACAACATGGTGCCAGAAGAAAAAAAAAAGCACAGACCAAAGGAGCAATGGAATAGACTAGAAAATGGAAAACAACTCCACACATACCCAATCACTGTAGTTTTGACCAGGGGGCCAAACACTTTCACTGGAAGGAATATAGGGTCTTTAATAAATCATGCTATAAAAACTAGCTTTCCACCCACCAAAAACTAAAACTAGAAACACATCCCTTATGATGCACTAAGCTAAATCAAAATGGAACAGATATCTAATTATTAAAACAGAAAACTAAATCCTCTGGAAGATAGGAGACACAGAACTCCTAATGACAAAGGTATAGGCTTTATGAACAAGACCTTGATCACACAGAAAAATCTCACAAAGAATCAATAACTGTGAACTAATCTTATTAAAAATCTTTTACACAGCAAAAGAAATCATCAACAGAGTGAAGACAGAACCCACAAAACTGGAAATAATCTTGCCAGCTGCTCTTCAGAAAAGGAAATAATATCTAGAATATATAAATCATTCAAAAAATCAGGTGTAAAGGCTTAATCCAAAAGTGTTCATCTGAAATGAATAAACATGTCTCAGGTGAAAAAGCAGAAATGGCAAATAAATTTGTGAATATATGTTCAACATCATTCATCATTCACAGTGATATGTGCACACCCATGTATATAGCAACCGAGTTTGTAATAGTTAAGTCTTGGAAACAGCCCAAATGTTTCATCAACCAATGAATAGATAGGCCATGGTCTATTTATACGGTAGAACACTACTGTGCCATAAAAAGGATAGATGTGAGACATTTCTAGGTAAATGAATGTGCCTTGATGACATACTCTTACATGAAATAAATCAGACATGCATATCAAAAATCACTTGGTTTCTCTGGTGTGAGACTTGATTCTACTAAGAAAATCCTAAAAGGAAGTCTGATACTTAATCTATCATTTAGGATTATGAAATAAGCAGCTGGACTATTTGAGCTACAATTTTAAGTGGTCATAGAACTGGAGTATAACTACTGTCAGAACAATTGTGCCCTTTCTATGAACTCTGATCATCCCCTGATTCTAAACCTGACCTAATAGGCTTGACTCATTTTCTGTAGTGGAGAAGACTGAGTGATGAATACTAGAGCGCTAGAGCTGGAGGAGACCCCAGGAGATCCATGGTGCTATGCTAATATTTTTAATGAAATATCAGCAAAGGACCAAGATATGAATTGAATTTGGTGTTATCACCTACTACCACCACCACTGGATGAATTACCAGTGTCCCAGATGCTCCTACTAGACATTTTATGAAGGATCAAAGAAGATAAATAATTTACCCCAAAGTAACAACTCTTAAGCTAAAGAGCCAAGATTTGAACACAAATCTGTTTGAAAACTCAAAATCCATTCACTTTGCCATGACGACTTTTCAATCATCCAGTGTTCAGAGTAGTTAACATCCATCAAAGTCTGTGCTTGCTATTAAGAGTTTGTATTATCACATAATCTTAGTGCTGTCATTTGGAAGTGGTTTGTCCCAGATGGGTTTCTGTGTTAGAGGGATGGTTCCCTGTAGATGACATCAGGAGATGATAAACCCAGTAGGTACCTAGTGAGAGGCGGTTAGGTCACTGGAGGCTCTGCCCTCAGAGAAACTTAATGCTATCCTGCAGGATGAGTTAGTACTTGAGAGTGGGTTGTTACAAAGCAAGTCCAGTCCACAAGATTGGCCTCTCTGCATGTGGCAGGATCTCTTCTTTATCCACCACATTTTAACACATCTAGGGAAGCTCTTACTAGAAGCCAAACTGATAGAGCCACCCCGCAACTGGTTTTCAGCCTCCAGAACTGTGAGCTTAATGAAGATTTGTTTATATTTAAATTATCCAGCCTGAGATATTTTGTTACAGCAACAGAAAGTGAGCTAATATATTTAGCAGTGTTATTTGGCTACAGTAATTATTACTGCTTAATGATTAGTGTGAAATATTAGTCTTTCCTTTTCCTCAGTGAGTTCACACCTAAAAGGTAACCACGCTGTAGACTGTAAAAAATCAAAAAATTTGTCCCACCTTTTTTTCTTCGCCCTTTACTCTGGTACTTTCTGTATCTTTTTCAAGGTTGAACACCTGGTAAGGAGAAAATATTATTTCAGGTTTTAGAGCACTAAAATCCTTCATGGAATCAGTCAGGGGAAAGTGGACTCTTGTTAAAAAAACAACCTCAGTAATATGTAGGTAACGTTATCTCCTTACAAAACCATGAAAAGACCTGGGCTGCCCTCTGATCTCTTTAAAGGGGTCTTTATCTATTGTTAGATTAACCTTTGATGTGTAATTTATACTCAGTGGGGATTATGGCACTTCTCCCAGGAGTTTTAGGTTTTACTGCTGCTTTTAATTATGAGAATAATGACTTTGGTCAAGACTGCTCACTCCAAAGAAATTTCTCCCACTCACAGAAATTTCAAGCATCAAAGAGCAGGTGATATAATGTTATTTAAGAGGCCACAGGATTTCCCTGAAAAACCTGAAATTGCTTTATGACCTCACAGTCTTTATTTCCTGGGCTGCAGGTAAGATGAGCCTATTTTCAATGCAATGCTTGAGAGCCGGCTCTCTGAAACAAGTCTGTGCATGGGCAGCAAAGAAACTGCATACCTTCTGCAACTGGGAGGCGGTGGCTCTTCCGGTCACCAGGAAAAGCATGCCAATGGCGGTTGACATACCAACAGGAGAAAACAAGATGTTGCCATCATGTATTTTCTTCAACTCTTTGAAAAGGCGAAACCCAAAGTGAGTGTTTGCTGCGATGAGTGAATCCATGATGACTTTAGTGAGATCTAAAACAGTGACAAAAACAAACACTGAATATTGGGTCGGACAACTTTGTGTTCCAGGAACTCTTCCTGCCCAGCCCCAGAAAATAGATTTCACTTACAATCGAAGGTCACTGCTGCCTGCTTTTCACTCATTTTCTTGCCTTCTCTTGATAGGAGACACAAGTTAGCTAGAGTAGGGCGTTTTCCAACAACAGTTCTTAGTTCTTCTTTCCCCAGGGAGTGGGGTTAACATCATCATGGTTTATATTCTCTCTTATTCTCTGTCTGAAAGCGCTTGCCTCTGCCTTCCTCTGCCTGTTCCTCACCATAAGCTTACTCTGGCAGTCCTAGTCCTTGTCCTGTTGATGGGCAGTTTTAAGCTGCTCAGCTTGTGACAAGGTAGGACTCTGAAGTGTAGGAATCCCACAGGTCTCCAGTAGGAACAATGTTCAAATTCAGCCTTGACAATAATATAGCTAATAGTTGTATCCTTGTCTGGTGCTATTTCAACATTCACTCAAACTTCAGTTTAAATAGTAGTCAGATAGCTCTTTCTCTTAAATCCTAACCCCCTTAGCCCCATGATAATTTGATCCTGAGCTAAATTTTCCTTTAAAGACAATCAAATATCTCTAGTCATGGGTTGTTAGGTAAGGTGTTTATCTGTGCTTTTCTATATTATTTCAGCTTTGCTCCATGTGCTAATATTATGTTTGTTATCTCACAAAGAATAATTTTAAGAGCCATTAATATTTGTCAAAATAAACAGGTAGACCATGAATATGTTTTCTTCATCAGAGTTGCTTTATTACTATTCTGTAAAGAATATAAGAATTTCAAAACAAGAACAGAATTAATGCAAAATAAAAATTTTGTAAGTTCATGCGTTGTTAATGATTTTGCTGTCCTGTGCTAATCCCTGCTAAGGCCTCATTCATCTGCATGCTACATCTGCTGTTATAGCTTCAATTTCAACCTTGGAATTCTTACAGGGATACCCTGATGGTTCACTCAAAAATAAAGTGAATTAAATAGAACCACCTCAATGAAAGCCAATGCACAGTAAAAGTACTTCTATCAAATCAACAGACATCTATAGTTTCAAAACACAGGAGTCTTAAATTGTAGCTGAAGGAAGAACATACCTGGCTCTTGGTGAAAGGGAGGCAGCTGACTGAGGCACAGAAAGCCCATGTAAAATGAGCAGCCTAGGTCCTTAATTTATGCTCTCAGTCTCTGCCTCTCCCTAAGTCATTACAGTTTGCATTTCCAGTGAAGCAGCATTGGGTTTCTCAATGACAGCACCCTAATAAAAGCAGCATGCAAAGTTTATGACAAAACCAAGGACTTAATTACTTATAGTTTCATTAATAACCATGAAGTCATACAATTGAAGTTGTCAGTAATTGTATTTCAAGTGTAGCTCAAATAGTATGCACTTCAGACATACAGGAAGCAAGTTTAAATTCTCATTTCTCAAAAATCCCTTAGAAGTTCTTTTTGGGAGCTTCAGCAAAAAAAGGTCTAAATTAACCAGGGAACAAAACAGGACTGATAGCAGAAGCCCAAACCAGGACTAAAGGGCAGAATTAGAATGACCAAGCCAAATGAACGCATGAGGAAAGGGAGGATTGAGAAAAACTGATGTTTAATGATACCAAGAATCCACTTGAATAACCTGTTTAGAGTAGTGGTTTTGCACCCTGGTAATACATTAAAATCTCCAGAGAAACTTCTAAAAATCTATGCCCAAAACTCACCGTACACTAACTGAATCAGCATCTCTAGGGTGAAACCAGGCATCAGAATTTTTATTACTCCAGGTCATTAGGATGTTAAGCCAAGGTTAGAAATTACCAATTTAAGTCATCTGCAGACATAATTAAATGCATACTCTACTTACACATATTATATATAGAATTATGTTCTGACAAGCCCTTGTCTTTACTAAGGCTAACTTGACAGTTTCATTATTTTGGAATGCCAAATGCATAGAAGAAAATGAAAGAAAACACAAAAATGTGTACTCACACACATACACACACATGCACTAACACAAGACCACTCTTGTCCTCAAGTATCCTGTCCATTAAAGAATTTCTCATTTTAATTTACTCATTAAATATTTATTGAGTTTCCTATATCCCAGACAGTGTATGAAGCTCCAACAATTTATAAAACACAGAACAACCTCTCTGGTTCCGAGAAAACATTACCAAAGTTGGGGTACAGGGGTGCTAAAAGGAACTTATACTTCCAGAGTCGTTTTTCCTACCAGCTCTGGAGTAAACAAAGAGCACCTACATTAGTCTTGGCATTAGTGTTCATGAAGGATGTAAAGCTTTGTCATTTTTGTAAGAAACACCTCCCAGAAAAAACACCTTTTTCCTGTCCCCTGAAGACAAACTTTCTTAAAGACTTGGCTCCTATAGGTACCTTTCTCAATACTCACTATTTACTTTTCTAAAAAATGTTTTGATTATAGTTGTTTAAGCAATTCAAAACAATATTTAATCAGCTTTATTTTTAAAATGTCATTGAGAAATATGCAAACCGAGTACTGTTCAGAAAGAATTAGCTCTTAGTTATAAGTTGACCATGAATGCCAGTGAAATGCCTTTAAAGTGGCATAAAATCCTTGAGTTCATTATAACACTCCATGTTTTAATACACCTATCACCTTATGTCTTCTCATCCTCTCTCTGTGGCCTCTAGACACTCTATCTCATTGTATAGCTATGTTCACATGCCTTCTGCTTTTTTCTGAAACCTTTACTCTACTGCTGGCTTTCAAAGGCAGAACTGACTTTCCCTCAGGATCACTACAGTCCAGTCTTCTCTAGGAACAGCCACTTATATCTTGGGATCAAGCAGCAAGTTTTTCATTCCTGTTCTCCACCTACACTTGCTACTTTCAAGTCTTTCTTCCTCCACTCTTAGTCTTTCTTCAATCACCTCTAATGTTCCTTTGTAGATACTAGAGGCACTGTCTTTACAACCCCAGCCATTGTTCTTCTTAAATTTCATAAGTCTTTCTCATTTCAAGACTGTTTTAGTGGAAAGAGAGAAGTGTGGGTGATTAAGAACCATAAAAACAGCTCCTATGCTTACAAGGCAGGAGAGAACTAATTAAGCCCCGAAGCAGGGCATTGATGGATTCACCATCCTCTCCCATAACTCAGTTTGGGCACAACCTCTGCATGTGTAACTCATTTCCTCCTGGCATGCACTTCTAACATCCAGTTGCATTTTGACTGATAATTCATTCATAGCTGCTGTTTTCTGGGGCCAGTGACTCAACTAAAGGGAATCCACATATCTGAAGTCTCTACAGCCCACCTAGGGCACACCTAGGCGTGACTCACTGGCACAAAGGAAAAAAAGGCAGTCACCTAGCATCAGGTAAGGCCAACTTTGTAGTATAATTTATGCTCTAGACTTCCTCCATGGAGTCAGATTGAAGTCAATCTCCAGCTGAAAGTAGATGGTTATATTAACATTTCTCCTTGTCCTATCTTGCTTCTCTAAATGAGATACACTTTCGCCTCAAAAAAAACCAGAATAAAAATTATTGTCTATATCTTGGTTCCTAGAGTACCTGAACTAAGGCAAAAATACTTAACATCTATCCTAATATCTGCATCATTTTCACTATTCAAAAATTATTTAACAATTCTTGTAAATATCCTCCTTTAATTTTTAATCAGTTTATCAAAATCTGTGAAAAATCCTCTGCAAAGTTAAACAGGAGTTCTTTAGAGTTAGTATATTACATGTAAAATTCATCATTTTTATATATTGAGCAAGAAGCATATCATTTTACATACAATTCAATAAACTTATAGGTAGAAAGAAATAGAGATAAAGAAAAACCCATTTCTCTTTTTGCAATCAAAAGCATCAGAAATGAAACACGACATTAAGAATTTCTGGACCATAAGATGATGTGCACAAAATTTTAATTATATTTGTTATACTGATCAAGATAAAAATCTTGAGTTATCAAGATAATATATTCTTCAGATAATTTAGTATTAACACATTCAATCCAAAATAATTGTAATCCTCATATATTATTTGGTCAACTAACATTAATTAAACGCCAAAAAATAAAATTATGTGCACTATCACTGCATCCTTTCAAAATTGAACCAGAGATCCCCACAAGTACAATGGAACAATTAATTAATTGGTTAGCTTATTATTTAGAAGATAAAATGAGAACTGGGGATTTATCTCAGTGGTCTAAGCACCTTCCTGGCAAGCGTGAGGTTGTGAGTTGGATCTCCAGTACTAAAAAAAGAAAATAGATAAAATGATTCAAAGGAAAAACTAAAATTATCATCCACAAAGGAAGAAAGGATTACATGATGACAATTTTAAAAGAGTTCATGATTGCTTAATGTGAAACAATATAAAAATTGAATATCTTTAATATTCTATCAAAATGCATTAAAATTTTTTAAATATAGAATTTAAGAGTAGCAAAAGGCTACGTAAGGTAATGTACACATTAATTAACTAAACTTAATCATTCCATATCTACATGTGTATGTATATACATACACAGAACAAATCATCATGTTTTGCCCAATAAAAACATACAATTCATATCAACTAAGAAAATAAAAAGCATCATATACCGAGTAAATGCGAAAGGTATATAAGCCTCTAAAAAGAAAATGTTAGGTGTGATTCAGAGAAACTAAAAAGACTAAAGGGAAGAATATGGTTTAGAAGAAGTGTCAATATTTTAAAGATATCAATTTTCTCAAAATTGATTGCTATGAATTTAATAAGTCATCTGGTTTTGGTAAAGGATAAACTGACATAAAGGTCCAGAAGAACTTCAACACATATTTGTACATTTCACTTTTTTAAATGCTGAGCCATTGAATAAAAGACAAATGTTAACTACTGCCTCATATCATATGTATGTAAATTTCCATTCTAAATGCATTACAGAGTCAAATGGAATACACAAAAGCATTTTCAATAGCACTAAAGATTAATAAATGCTGCTAAATAAAATTTAAATGTTTTGTTAATAAAAAAAAATATATATATAAGCATATATCTCATAAGCTGGCATTTTCAGCTTATAGGAACCAAGAAACACATGCAAAAAGGCTTATAAAAGCATTACTTAGAATAGTCAAAGACTAGAAACCCAAATGTATAACCATAGTAATTATAAATAAATTGACTATGATGTATTCACATGACAAAACATTACCCAGCAATGACAATGACTAAAATAAGCGATAGCCAACAAACCAAATAAATGAATTTCACAAACAGTATTAAAAAGAGAGGGAAAATGGAAAAGAATATACATTTTATAATTCTATTTATATAAATTTCAAAAGCAAGAAAAGCTAAACTATAGTGTTACAAGTCAGCACGATGGTTATATTTTCAAAAAGATGAAGAAAGTAACAATTGGGAAAAGATTCAAGGTGGAC